AAGGCTGCCAACTCTACTGATTTTTTCAGTATTCTACTGAATTTTCGACAATTTTTTATGGAAATACTGATCGATACTGAATACTGAAAAAGTACTGAATTTTGGCTTTCGCATACTGATCATACTGAATTCGCACATTTGCCGACACAAAATTCACTTGACTTCAAAACTAATGCAGAATTTTTTCATTTGCCATGCGCTTTTTACATACATTCAGTAGTTTTTTTTTGTATTCAGTAAAGTCTGAATCTATTGAAATTGATTGTCGTTTCTAAGAAACCATTTGAAATAAATATTATCAACTTCAAATATGCAGTCAAATGCGCTGAACGGCTTTCAAGTCATAACAATCGTTCAAGCGGTTTTGTATATTTTTGCTTTCTTCGAATCTTTTGTTTATATTTTTTCTGCTAAGTAGCTCTGTGAGTCGCTAACGATTGGAGTCACATGGATTTCAATTTGACGATAAATATCTTTTTTTGTTTCGTTTTGTCTTGTTTTTTTTGTTTCTGAATTCGCGATTCAAATTTTGTTTACATAAAACGTCGCCTCGGCCATGCAGCGATTTATGCTATGTATTGAAATCATCCAAAAATTGCACGGTAAGTAAGTTTCATGTCTTAAACCCAGTTCAATTGAAGAATGTGTCATGATTCTCAGACTGCATGTCTGTAATGCTTCGATTTCGTTTTCAATTTCTTCGACTGAAAATGCTTATTGCAGCAACTATGATTGCTATAAATATGTGAGCAACACTTGAATCCATTTAGTGCCAATCAAAATTCGACAGCGATCATTTCTTAAAGTAGTCAATAAGATTATCGATTGTGCAATTTCGATACACTTTCATACATTGTCAAACGCGAGTTTTTCACGCTACGACACTCAACGTTTTTGTGATAAGTGTTAATTACTATTATTTTCGAACAATGGCATCCAAAACAAAAAAAGAAAATGAACCCAAAACCCGTTCAAAAAATAATTTAACTGGCAAACTTTCAAACGAGTACCCGTTCTTAGAACTTGTTCCGAATAAAACAGCCAGTGACGTTCGTTGTACAACTTGTGACAGTACTTTCAGTATTGCAAACGGTGGTAAAACAGACATTGAGAAACATTTAATAAGCAAAAAGCACCAGAGAGGGGTAACAGAGAAATCAGGCTGTCAACCGTTGAACAAATTCATGCATCGCATCGACTACACAACGGCTGCATTCGAAGGTCTTTGGGTCTATCATACTGTCCAGTCCAACATTAGTTTTTCATCGATCGATTGCTCATCCAAATTGTTCAGAGAATGTTTCGGAATCAAAGATTTTCATTCTGCTCGCACGAAAACACAAGCGATAGTGTGTAATGTATTTGCTCCACTCGCTGACAAAATGATCACAGCAGAGCTAAAACGATGTCGATTTATGACACTAACTACCGACGCATCTAATCACGGAAATCTGAAACTAATGCCGGTGATGGTGCGATACTTCATGCCTACAGTTGGTGTTAAAGTGAAAATGCTTGAATTCACATCAATACCGAATGAAACATCTGAAACAATTGCTGGCTTAGTAAAGGAAACAGAAAAAAACACGACATTGTGGAAAAAGTTGCTGGTTTTTGCGGTGATAATTGTACCACCAATTTTGGTTCAGTTGATCGCGGCGGAGAGAATAATGTTTTTTACAAACTAAAGCAGTGGAGACCAGCTTTGTGTGGAATCGGATGTGCCGCTCATGCATCGCATAATACCATGAAATTTGCCTGCAGCCAACTGCCAGCCAATATTGAATATATCATCGTTAAAATCTATACCCATTTTTATATACATACAGTTCGTGTTGAAGCGTTGAAAGCCATTTGTGAAGTTGAAGAGGTTGAATATGCCAAACTATTGGGTTATGACAAGGTTTCTTGCACTCGGGCCAGCTATCGGCCGTATATTACAAATGTATGAACCACTCAGAATCTACTTTATGGAGCTCAAGGACTGCCCAGAAAAAATCCGAACCTTCTTCGAATCACCATTGTCAAAGTTGTTGCTGTTATTCGTTAAAGATCAGGTAAAGTTGTATATTTTTTTCGTAAAATAATAGAGATAGAATTTATCGTAAATTTATCAACTAAGTTTTAATGCTTTAAATTCTATTTTCAGGCTGATTTATTTAACGAAACGATCTTGAAAATCGAAAGCGACAATATCTCAGCATATGCAGTTGCATACCATCTCGATGTATTGAAAGCAGACCTTGTGTTGCGCAAGCAAGAAATGTACATCGACCCAAAGACGGAGGAAGAGAAAGACATTGTGATTAATTCTTCAGAGCTTGATGAAGGATCTATAAATACTATCTTCACGAAATTTTACGGTATAATTGTTAACACTTCTATAATTTCAATTCCGCCTATGATGACTAATTCTCATAATTTTTTATTTGAATTATTTTTCGCAGATGATGCGAGCGACTACCTCTTACAATGGACTAAAGAAATCACCGAATTTAGTCGTTTTCTTTGGGTCGATCTACGAAAGGCACCTGATTGGATACAAGTCAAAGATTCATTTAAAGTGCTAGTTGATAAGTTTGGTTTCGATTTTACTTCAAAATCAGCAGGAATTTTTAAGCAGTTTGGATATGTCAAAACGTATTGCACTCAAGAAAGATTTTCTTATTGGAACGAAAACGAAGTACCAGGACAAGACAGATGGGTGGAAATTTTCAAGCATTTGGAAAAAGAAAACATTCAATTTAATTCTTTTTCCACCATTGTCGAATATGTGCTCTGTTTCCCTGGTACATCTACGCCAGCAGAGCGCATATTTTCCCATTCCAATCAGATTTGGAGAGAAGAAAAATCTGCACTGCAAGTGGAAACGTTAAAGTCGATTTTAAGCGTCAAATACAATATGGAATTCGAATGCACAGAATTCTACGATTTTTTGAACAGTCGGGAAGATATTTTGAAAAAAATTTGCACTCAAGATAAATATAAATTCAAATAATCCGGTCCTGGTGCTACGTCGATCGATACCAAATAGTCAATTTATCAACAACAACAGTCTAAACTTTATCTGCGATCTATTTTTTATTAAAAAATTTGATATTTGCTTTAAAAATAAACCATTTTTGCCGTTTTTTCATTATACTGATTTTTCTACTGATTTTCTGAAGGTTCATACTGAATTTACTGAAAAAATTAAAACTGACTACTGATTTTGCGACTAAAACAGTTGGCAGCCTTAGTGTAAACTATAGATATTGCTTCTTTTTATTCATAAACTCGAATTTTTTAGAATTTTTTGAATCTAAAAATTCTGGAAGTGGATCCACAGGATGGACCAGGGCATTGTCAAACCCAGTCTGATCCATCCTGAAGATCCACCAAAACCCACTTCCAGAACCGGGAGCAGTTTTGAACGATCCTGAGGATCCTCCAAAACTCACTTCCAGAACATAATTTTCAAGGTGAATGTTGAAATATTTCGAAATAAGGATTTTGGTGAATCCCAGAGAATGTGAGAGAAAAGAGAGAAATATTGAAATTTTAGATGATTTTTAAGTTGCGTGAAACCCCTAGTTCGAAGGCACTGAGATTGATGTGGCCGATGACATAATCAAGAATATAACGTGGGAAGAAAAGTGTTTTGTGGCTGATGCAAATGATTTGGCTTTCATTGGTTCAGAGCAGTTACCTGATGAAATTGTCAATTTACAAACACCATATCAATTTTGGTCGTACTTGGTGAGCGATGAAATAATCACGCATTTGGCGGAACAAACAAATCTGTATGCGTTGCAGCAAAATCGAGAACTGGATGTGACTTCAGCTGAAATGAAGCGATTCATCGGTATCAACCATTTCATGACAGTGGATTCATGACTATCTAACCGATCGAGAGCAAATCGTGAAGATTGATATGATGAATACTTCACAACCAATCAACGTGACTTCAGGAGTTGGTCAAGGATACTCAATTGGCGCTACCTTATTCATACTTTTCATCGCGGATTTGCCTCATCATGTAAAATATGCGCTCGTTCATTTGTTTGCTGACGACGCCAAAATATCGCTGCCTATCAATAGTACCGATGATTGTGAATTACTGAAAAGCGATTTGAATGATGTGGCGAATTACTTCAATATTCACCATCTGAAGCTGAACATCAACAAATCACCGGTTGAATTTACATACTTATTAAACGGCTCATCGTTGGACAAAGAAGAGATTTAGGTGTGATACTTGATCGTGACCTCTCGTTCAAAAGTCACATCGAACACATATCAACCAAAGCAACATCACGTTTAGCATGGATAAGGCGTTACTCAAAAGAGTTCGATGACCCCTGGGTGATCAAAAAACTATTCATGACTTTTGTGCTTCCAATTTTAGAATATGCATCGCAAATATGGTGCCCTCATCAAATCGGTCAAATCAAGAAACTAGAGTCAATACAAAAACAATTTTTATTATCCTCACTGAGAAAATTCAGATGGACTAAAAATGGAGATTTTAAACTCCCAAAATATAAACACAGACTATTGTTACTCGATATGAACAGTGTTGAACACTCTAGAAGATAGAAGAATAATTGCTAAAACATGCTTCATACATTCTCTACTAACAAGCAGCATATCATGCCCAACGATTTTATCATAATTAAAACTAAAAGTTCCTACTAGAATTACACGAATTTCAAACAAATGGCTGTTATATGTAAATGATCTGAAAGATCCGATTAATTTGATGTGTAGAACTTATAACGAATATTTGAACATAGTAGATCTAAATCAAAGTATAGGTGTTGTAAAAAGAAATCTAAAAACCCACTTAAAAAGTGTTCTGTATTGACTAAGCAACAAATTATTTGTTTATTTATTTCAATAAACCACCTAAACCAAAGTGATGCTATTGGTGCAGACGGTAATAATAATAATAAGTGTACAAGCATCCGTCTTCACGTTCGTATTGGTCGAAGTATGGTTTTCCGCCCATAAATACGTCAATGCCAGGGGGACGCTATGAAATTATTCGGTCATTTTTGCACGTAAATAACAACAGTCGAATGTTGGATAAATCTGATCGGAATCATGACAAATTGTTCAAAATTCGGCTTTTGATTACGATGTTCAACCAGCAGTTTAGCAAAGTTCCGTTCCGCCATCATTTGGATATTGACGAGAAAATTTGTAAGTCAAAGGCAACAAACTTTCTACGCCAATATTTACCAAACAAACCGCATCCATGGGGCACAAAACTCTTTTTGCTGTGCGATGACTTGGGATACTGTTATCAGTTTGAGGTTTATTGTGGTGGTGAAAACCACACATTGCAGCCCGGTGAAGTCGATTTGAAGGCGACTGGAAATACGGTTGTACGTTTAATGCGTCTGGTGCCAAGTTTCATGAATCACAAGCTTAACATCGACAACTATTACACGTCGATTCCGCTCATGATCTATCTGCGTGCGCATGGAATTCTAACGTGTGGAACAATGCGATGCAAATGCATCCCAAATTGCAAACTGCCAACTGATTTGAAAAAGAGAGGCGAAATGGTTAAGCATGTGGCCAAAGACACGATGGTTACGATGGGGTCGACTTTTGTTGGTTCAAAACCTTCAAAACTGCGAAATTCGGATGAGATTGCTGAGCCACAACTGATTGATCGATGGAACAAGAAAAAGAAGCGCGTTGAAACAATACCAAGTCCACAAGCAGTTGTTGAATACAATCGGTATATGGGGTGTAGACTTGATGGATTCGTCGTTGGGTCGATATCATATCTCAGTCAAAACACGAAAATGGCCAACTCGACTTGCATATCATCTGTTAGATATGGCAATGGTCAATGCATGGACTTTATACAAACGAGCAACCAAAAAGGGTGTGAAACTTCACGAATCTATTTCTGAAGTCGCAGAAGTGTTGTGTCGCGCGGGAAACATTGAACACCGACGTGGCCGACCACCAAAAGATGATCCGGGGCCACCTCCAAATGTTGAATCAAAGAAGCGAAACGTGTTCAAACCTCCACCTGATATGCGATTCGATGAAATTGATCACTTGACAATGGCAAAGGAAGATACAAAGGTGCGATGTCGGTGCCAGAATGAAAACTGTAAAAGCCGTTCGCAAATTTACTGCATCAAATGCCGAGTTCATTTTTGTTGCAATTCAAACCGTAATTGCTACACTGAATATCATACACGACAATAAAAATGCAAATGTCGATTGAATCTCTGAAAAATTAATTTTTTTCTTTCTCAAATAAACCAATGATTTTAGCGGAACACTTTTTTCTTGCGTAGATAAGTGAAAGAATTTCAAACTACGACGATTGATCACTATTTTACTATGGAAATTTCCAACATTCACATGGGAAGAACCCTCGATACTGATCCGATTGACTTGAAATTTCAAATGAGTTACTTTTTTTGAAAAAAAATAAGAGCCTGAAAGTTTGAAGACGATGAGATTTAAAATAGTGAAACTTTCCAAACAATTTTCATAAAACATAATGTCGATGCACGCTGGTCCCAAGAAAAACCACTTCATTTTTTTGATTTTTCATTATTTTTTGATGCCTCTTCTGAAAAACTGAGTATGAGGAGTGTTTTGTGATACCAAAAACTATAACATATATTAATTTCATTCAAAAATAAAAAATTGTGCATCAAAGGGTTTTCGTGATTAAATGGGCACAACAAAGCATAATTCAAACCATTTTCGGTTCCATACGATTCTAAAAAATTCAAAAATGAAAAAGTTCTTACACGTAGTTCCTATGAGAGGCATGTTTTTTTCATAGAGAAATAGTTACCGTTACCGACCAATGGGACATCTATGTCCCATCATTTCTTTCATATTTGCAATTAAAAAAATTAATTTTTGATAACACTTTTACTAAGGTTTTTGGGGTCGCTGAGCACGAATCTGCAATCAGAATTGCAAAATTTCAAGCCGTTTAGTTTTGGTCGTCAAAGGGTTAGATTGCTTATAAGCCGTATACGGTATTAAATATTAGAATTATATTTTGTTGGATTTGAACTCTCTGAGAAATGCGAGACTTTTTAATTTACCCACTGTCACAACCAATGACTAAGTTCTGTGTGATAGAAGTTGTCATTAAAAGACAGGTGAATTGTAGTCGATGGTTGATTAAAGACTGACGATTTTATTCATGCACTTAAAGACTATATACAATAAATTGCTTAGCTGACTTATTTAAATTCTCCGAATTCTATTCAGGTTATTGTTGCACTTATAACTAAATAATAATTATTTCTTGCTTATGATTCATTATTTCGTGCGATTTCATTATTGTTCGATTCCAGTTAATTCAAAATTATGTCAATAGACATTCTCCGGGCCACCTTTAGCGTGACTGGCGGTGCTCTAAACGGCGAGTCAAATCTTCAGATAGATTTGGCATCGAAATTGCACGTGGTAATCTGATTCGTCTATTACCCCTGATGAAATTTACAACGTAGAATATCAAGCATACAGCGATGAACAGAGTGAAATAGTTTACTGAATAGTTATGAATGTCATGAATGTCGATTTTTTCCTTTAATTTAGATTGATTTTCGATGAATTTTAACTGATTTTGTAGTTTAGTCAAATTAGTTTTGGCAAATTCGATCAAATTCGTTGTTCCGTTTGAAATGAATGGCTCGTACGAAGTGAGATTGAATTGGAAATTCGGAATAATGAAATCATGTGGCGCGCGCTCTAAACTCTTTTGGGGCATTAATTCAAAATTATCACCCCGAAGTACGCAATTGTCGTTCAATTTTAGGGTTCCAGAGCCAATAGCGCTGTGGTGATTTACACTATCGCCGCAAATAGATATGAACTTTTCCACATACTTACAGAAAAATAACCAATTGTTCGGCTCTTCGAGTTCTAACCATTGGTAACGCAAATTTACCTTGGATAACTCGCAATTCGAGTTGGCTTCATGATTAAAGAGAGACCACACACAAGATTTGAATTGGCTGGTTAGCCACTTGCGGGGCTCGAAGCAGATGACCATGTCATCTGACTGTTTTTTGCATTTCAGTTCATGCTTGTTTCTAATCAATTGATATTTTTGCCGATTTAATGACGCGATAATGACTTCGAATTTAGCATTTATTTTCAGAGTTTATGGCGATATATACAAATGGCGTTTCATACATATGATACAATTGAAACCTTTCGTCGCTTATCAATGGAATGGCAATTCGAAAAAATAGTGTCTTATTTGTGACAAACGGAGTGATGGTTGCCAATTTGTAGAAATCGGTTCCATCCGGAGGTGCCTGTTGGTCTGATAAATATTCACTCATTATATTTAATTGACCCTTTACTTGAGCAGGAGTTATTAGATGATGATCGATATGATTTTTTCTAGCGCCAGTAAGTATGTCCAACATGCTATCTTGTTGATGCTCATAATCAGAGATCATTTGTAAAAGATACACAGACATAGTATGAAAATGCAAAACTGCTTGCTGGTCATTGGTTTGAACACGTACCAAACCTGCTAGATTTATTATGCTTTCTCTCTGATTTATGATTTCCCGCTCATCTTTTTTGATTATATTCATAGTGGAATTTAAAACAGAAGTGTGGTTTTTCAAAAGAGTGAGCAAATGTTCGTCATTTGATTCCAATCTTGACATATCGAGAACGTATTCTCGTCCGAATCGAGAGTCTAAAACTCCAAATAAATCGCCAGCAATGTTTCCAACAATGTCAAGTAACGCTCTTTCTGCTCGATGATGCTTAAACGATACTATTAACTCATTTCGTTCATTGATGTCGTTGATACGATTTTCAATTAGTTGACAAAGAGATTTGCATGAGCTTTGCCCCGCCAGTTTTTGATTGCATACGTTTTCTAAATCATGTAAACTTCTTTCCATCATCGATGCTTCGTTGAGAAATGATTTCATGTTTACATAAACAATCGAGTTCCAATTGGTGTAACTGAACTTTGCATGCGAAATTTGTTCGAAAAACAAACCCGGCGAGGTGTCAAATTTATTCAATTTGAACGGAACGATTTGATTTGGGTGAGCATTCACTTGAATCACAAAAATTGCAAGCAATGCCGTTATTATCGGAATGACATTAAATGTTTGTTTTGCCGGTTTGGATTTTGTAACCCGTGCTTTACTCGCTGTTTCAGTTTTTGCAATGTGTGCTTTAATTGTTGCCCGGGTCTCCGCATCGTATTCAATCGGCAACGGAGCGATTTTGGTTATTGGTCGAGTGAAAGTGTTATTGCGCATTTTAAGTGTTACCACTCTCGTGAGTGCGTCATGACCCTTGTGCACGTCGATTACGCGCGCCATTGGCCAAGAGCATGGTGGTGAATTCTCATCTTTTACCAAAACTAATTCATTCAATTTTGGCTCTTCTTTTTTCGTAAACCATTTTGATTTGGTTTGCAATTCATTTAGATATTCCGTTTGAAATTTTTTCCAAATGTTTTGACTCATTTTTTGCACCAATTGCCAACGTGAAAGCCAGTTTACGTTCGTTTCGATGTAGCTTTCGTCGGGTGGTGCCAGTAACGGTGCCCCAATCAAGAAATGTCCAGGTGTTAGGCAATCGATGTCATCAGGGTCAGTAGATAGTGCACAAAGTGGTCTTGAATTTGCACATGCTTCCACCTGATACAATAATGTGGACAATTCTTCAAATGTTAGCGCAGTTTTTCCGATTGTTTTTATTAAATGAGTCTTTGCAACTTTCACACCAGCCTCGGCGAGGCCATTGAAATGAGGCGCACCAGCGGGTGAGAAATGCCAAGAAATGCCTTGCTTTGAAAGTTCATCGCAGATTGTTTTGAACTCTTCTTTTTCGATTTCAAATAAATCACTTAGATCTTTATTAGCTTTTACAAAGTTTGTGCCATTGTCACTGTTGAAGCTCTTGATCATTCCACGACGCGCTACCAATCTGCGAACGGCAGCTATGAACGCGTCGGCTGTTAAATCTGATACTAGTTCGATATGAAGTGCCTTTGTAGCCATACAGACAAATATTGAAATGTAAGCCTTAGAAATTTTACCAGCCCTACCTTTTGCCGTTTTGTATGGAATTGCACCGGTGTAGTCTACTGCTACGTTGGTGAATGGCTTTTCAACAATGTTTACGCGATTGGCCGGCAAATCTGCCATTAATTGTGACATGGTTTTTTGTCTTTGTTTGAAGCAAGGAATGCAACGATGCAAAATTTTCTTTATTTCTGTTTGTGCATTCACAATCCAAAACTGCTGTTTGATGATTGCTTCAGTGGCTTTCCCTCCACCGTGCATGCATAATAAATGAAAATGACGAATTATTAAAGTTGTTACGCTATTGTTTTTTGGTATTAAGATTTGATGTTTTCGTCCAAACACCAAATCCGAATTTCGTAGTCTGCCACCTACGCGCAGAATGTTATTTTCATCTAAGAATGGGCTTAGTTTCAGAATGTTACTTGAAAAATTTACTGATCTTTTCTTCATTAATTCACTTATTTCGGCACCAAATGCCTCCCGTTGAATGATTTTTATTATTGCTGTTTCCGCTAAATTTAGCTCATCAGCCGAAATCGGAGACAATGCTTTGGGCCCCTGTTTTGCTTTGCATAACGATGCAAAACGAAAACAGTATGCGATTATTCGTTTCATTTTGTTGAACGACGTCACTTCAGGAAGAATTTGTTCGTTTGAAATTGGAGAGATTTCTACACTTAATGCGAGTGATTCAATTATTGGGTCAATGTTATTTAAATGACTTGCATTGTTTGCATAGTAATTGTTTTCACGCAAAAACTGTGGGCCATTCCACCACATTTCATGTCTCAGCAATTCCGATGGCAACATGCCGCGTGAAGCGCAGTCTGCTGCATTTTTGTCAGTGGTAACATGATACCAGTTTTTTGTTCCAATTGCCTTATCTATTGCACAAACACGGTGTGCGATAAACTTTTTGTATCGCTTCGGATTTCCTCGAATCCAATCGATGACTATTTTTGAATCGGACCAAAGAAATATTTTGCTGAAATTTATGTTTGTTGCTTTTAAAACGCCCTTCGTCAATTTGGCAAGTAAATTTGCTGCACACAATTCCAATCTCGGTATTGTGAGTGCGTCTTTCGTTGTTTTCAGAGGAGCTACTTTATTTTTTGCGATTAATAATCGCACCGTGTTTTGCGTGACGTTTTTAATGTAAATCACAGCTGCGAATGCTGGTTCCGCTGCGTCACCGAAACCATGCAACTCCATGACATCCTCAGGATTGTAATTTATCCAACGTTCCACTCTGATGTCATT